GCAAGCATGTAGTAACACAGAAAACACTAGATTTTCTTTTTATTTTTTTTTTTTTTTCAGTTTTCCTATGTTAACATGTGGCCACATTACCAAAGGCGAAGCTCAATTGTAGGTAGAGAAATATTTATAGGAAGAATTCTGGAGTCTGGTGACAAACCCAAGGCTGCTGCTTTGATCCTCCTCTCCCCTAACAACGGGCATACCGCGGCAGAAACACGCAGGGTGGGGATTTCTAGTTTGGCTCTTGCTGACACAAATCAAGTGCAGGTTTCTCAAGCTGTGAAGTATATTAAGTTCACAGAGTTTTAACAAAGGGCTGCGAAACCACTGAACCCCGCTGCGAGTCACACTTCTTTCAGATGCCCTTTTAATTATATTAAATGAAAGTCTGGGGCACTTTGATGTTGATAGGCAAACATCTCGATCTCTTGAAAAAAGCTGCTAAAAGTCCTCCCTGTAGCTACAGTTAATATACAACATCGTATGCACACTGCTAGCCAATTTATTCCAGCCTCTTTAACAACGCCACCTCGCCTGACAGCCTGCGCAGAATAGCATCAGGCATCGAGCAACGCGCAAATCATTAGAGGACCCTGAAAGTTGCTTGACACGCACCGCGGAGCTCTTTGTCATGCAGCCAATTAAGTGACCAAACAAGGAACTCGAAAATCCTCATTAATTTGCCCCTTTCTATATAAATGGAGGTTAGAGGCTTTCTTGTCACAGGCACAAGAACACAAGTAAACGCGGCATAATTCAATTTACGCTCCCCTCTCAGAGCTACAAGTTTCTTGCGTTTACTCCTCATGGATGTTGGGACCAGCCATGCAAGCAAGCAAGAAGTGGGACAAACAGAATTAATCCACTTTAAATATTACTGGCTAAGTCCCAGATGCACCTTTTATCTGCTGAGAGCTACTAGGTTGGAAAAAAAAAAAAACCCACAAAAAAAATCCCCAAGTCTCTTCTTCTACTCAGCTCTAAACTTAATGCCTTGAATCCTCTGAGGAAAGCCTTTCATTTTTTTTTTGCTTAGTACAGCAATTCGAACAGCCCGTGTTACAAGCATGAAGCGTTCAGAAAACTTCCAGGGGCACCAGAAGGACAACTCTTGACTGCAACCACCCGCTGCTGTCTGCTCCCTGTAATGCGCACCAAGTTCTCGTGATCTTCATGCAGTGGGTGATACCTCCATAATCTTCATCATTTACTTCACAGGCAAACCCAGAATTACAAAACAGGGCGAACTGATTTCGAGGGCAGCCTGCAGGACGGCAGGAACCAGAGCAGCAAACACCATCACACCAGGAAAACACGGCAAAAGCAATGCTCTGCTGCTTCCTTCCTCCTCTCCCGCCAAACTGCCGCTCAGGGTAGCTGTTGTATTCACCAGCCTCCAGCTTTGAAGGAACCGAGACTAACTTTAAAATAATAAATTAAAAAAAAAAAAAAAAAAAAGAATGGGAACCCCCAGGAAGGTTTTGTCTTCTGCAGTCTGCATCCCAAAGGCAGTGTGCAATTTCACATGGGAAGAGGCTGCTGGCTGGCACCGCAGGGAAAGACATTGGCCTCATGATGCCCCCAAAATCCAAGCGAAGCAAAGAGCTGAGCTCAGACTTTGTAATCAGGGGCACATATGTGATAAAAGGACTCCACAGGTCCGGATGCAATATGAGGCTTTATTAAAGCTTGTGTTTCCAGCTGCTAAATCTTATAGTAAAATTATAAATTCTTTTCCCCTTGTTTAATTTTTTCCATGTTAATATTACTTACTGCTATATCTGACTACTCAGCCTTTTTTTTTTTTTTTTTTTCCTCTACTCCCCCGCCTTGACTCCCAGAGGCCAGGGGAAGTATACCCATCGCATTTGCAGTTGGGGAGTGACAAACAGTGAGTGTGTGCCACTTGCTGAATGGCATGGAAGAAATCTATGACACAAAACCCAGTTTTACAGCTCCCAAAAGACAAACATTTCATGTTTGCTACAACTCCAGTGCTTCACTTTAAGGAGAAACGCCTTCAGAAAATGAACAAATATCAGTGTTGAAAAAGTTACAGAAAATTCTTACCGGCTTACGTCACACCCCAGTCACCAAATGAAGCTACACTAATCAAATGCGTCACCCACCGTGACTCATTCTCCTGCATGATGACTTTTCCATCCCTTTCCCAAAATAGAGTGCAAGAACAGTGCACCGCAGAAAGGTGGGCATGGGTGATGTAAATCTCTGCTCTCCAAAAAGCCAGGCACCTGGTCCAAGCTCTCCTTAGCCAACAGAAGCACCACTCCAAGACCACTCACTCTGTCCACCTTGGATGTCCACCTGGGTCAGCTCAGCCTATCTAGTTGACTCTAAGTATTGTGAATTAAAGACTGTGTGGTAGTTGCTTAAATACCAACGTGACTGATAAATTCCCCAATAATTGTCTGGTCAGTATATTAATATATATTTATATCTTTACTTGTTGGGTTGGTTCTTGTTGGATTTTTGAGACAAGAAAGATCATTTACCACATTCGCAACTAAAGAAGCAGCATTTGTAACCTATCTCCAGTAAATAAAATCCCTAAGCTTTTAACTCAACAAATATTGTGACACTACACAAATTAAAACAATATTTGTTTTAATCATAAAGTTACCCAGAGAGATGAGATGATAATCTGATAGGGCATTCCCACAGCCTCATCTTTGAATAACTTATAAAATTTCCAGATCCGTTTTCCATATTTATTTATATTATTCATTAATTTTGGGCTCTAGAGGACTTTATATCCCAATTGCTACAGGGGGTCTGTCATGACTACTTATGTTTCTCAGCCCAAAGAAACCACTAAGACTGATATTAGCAATTATCACCTTTTCAGGTCACCCTTCTCCTCCCCTAAATCCACCTTTACTCAGTTCCACTTTTGATTTTTATAATTGCTGGACATCTCTCACATAAACTTTGTACCACACCTTCCTTTGTCTAATGAGTCTGAAGGTACCCTTCCAGCCCTGTGTGCCGAATGCAGCCACGGATGCTCTTCCTGATAATGGGATCAGCACAAGGAGATCATGTCAGCAAGGTTGAAAACTCTATTTTCTCCGCCATCAGTGGGGTATTTCCCAACTATTTCCCATCTCCTGTTGACTTCACAAGGTCCAGCATTTCACCAGTTAAGATTTCCTGAAAAATCTGCTAAATTGCCTTAGCCAGACCAGACATTTCCCTGCCTGGTAAAGGATAAGTAGCCTGAAACAGGAATATCCAGAGTCTCATTTAACTGCTATTACAGACAAACTCTCCCTCACAAGATTTTTTTATGACTTTAGCTACATTATTTTCCAAATGGGAGCATACTGTATGAAAATATGTCTAGATGCATTATTTTACCTCCATGTAATACAAAGCAGAGCTAGAAAGGTTGTTAGGTCATCTAATTCATTCTTCAAGTCCTTCGTTACAGGACTGTTCTCCTCAATATATTTACCAGCTTTGTCCATATTTATACTAAACAGTTCAGGCAATGAGCTTTATCAGTTTTTGTCTGCTGAAGAGGTAGACGCACGATTAACGTTTCAACACACAAGCTGCCTTTCCAAGCGAAAGGGAAGAAGTCCTTCAAATTAAGGGTAAGCTGAAGTCCGTGCAGAATATTCAGGCTTTATTCTATCAATGCCAAGCTTGCTGTACAATATATTAAATCCATTATTCACTACTGTTTGAAAGAAGACAAAAAGACCAGGAGCATGCATTGACTCTGTAGAGTGTGCCCATGCAGCCAGTGGAAAGGACAACCATGGGTAAGGCAGCACCCCAGGTCCCCAGCAGGGTTGTGAGGTCCGTGGTCCAACCAGCCTCACCATGTTTCCAGTGATACCAGGAGACAAGATAGCTAGCTTGGGAGTGAGCTCTGCAGCGTAAACTTTCCTAAATTCCTTTAAAAATGCTAGTTCCTTCCTCTGGAATCTTAAGGGATGTGTAACTCCATAACTCATCTTTATCCATTCATCTATACGGAAAGGAGAAGGTGACTTCTTCTCATGACCATATCCAAAGGGAAGAGCCTACCAGCACAGAGGGGTACCATCTAATCCCACACACTAAATGAAATATGCGCTCACAAAATAAAAGTCAATACCAACCGCAGGCAGCTGGATTTTGCAGGAAAATTCAGGTATAGACAGCCCTCTCCAGAAACATGGGGGTCATTTTTACACCTCTGCATGTTATACGTATACATATAAATAAGGACCAACCATCTATAAGTACAACATCAACGTTCATAAGCACAAGACAGAAAACAGAAGGTAAAACATTCACATTTCTCAAAGCAGCATTAACTCACCCATAGCATACAAACAGCTTCATATAAAAGTCACTGGAGCAAATGCTATAAGGTAAGGTGACAGGATAAATAACATCGCCTGAGGCCCCACTCTTGAAAAGCCTACAAGCAGCTCTTTCCAAAACAGTGGGGCTTGACTTTGTTCATGTAAAACACACTGTAAGCCTACAAAAATTGGGCTGCAGTTGGGTGAACTTTATGGGACGTTCTGTTCCATATCCTACATTTAGTTTGCAGCACTCTCTTCCTTCCTGCATCCCTCCGCAAGGACACTCTGCACTTCATTACCATCCTCCCTCCTCCCTCACTAGGAGTGCTGCCATTTCCAACTGTTTCTAAATTTGCAAGGGTAAGAGGAGAAGAAGGAAAACTAAGGAAATGCAGGTGGCAATTAAACAAGTGACACACCATAAGCGAAACCCATCTGGCCTGGAGACACCTTTGTGAGCAGATCTCACGTAGCTTTACCCACGTTTTGGTTCAGAGTTTTTGCCCTAAAACTGGGCAGGTGGTGGGAGATGAAAAATGAGATTATTATCCTGTAACCTTAACCTTTGAACTTGCTGCCACAGAGATGGGAATAATCAGATTATTCACAGAGACAAGACCCACTTCACAGTCATTCAGCCAAACAACTGGACACGTGTATTAAAAACACAAGAAATACCTGGACATAGGCCCTGCAAGAGCGCTCCCTTTTCTGAAGCTGAGTCCATAAAGACAGCAGATTAAAGACGGGATAGAAAAAACAAGTTAGTGACAGAACACGGGGAAAAAAAAAAAAAAAATTGAAGAAAACACCTTATACAAAAAATCCTTAATTCTCTTTTAACCAACTCCTGGAGAACAATGAGACCAAAGGAAGCATGCAAGTTAGGAAGCAGTGGAGGGCTGGATGCCTGGCTCCAAAAATACAGGTTAGTCCTTTCCCAGTGAAGTAAAGCACAGACCGGCAACATTGCGAGAGCAGCTGTTAGATGAGAGGAGACGCTGAAGATAAATGGAGATGCTCAGGAGACAGCATTTTCCTTACAGCTTGGAGGACACACATGATATCTCCATGTCAAACGAGGCTGGAAAGGACAGGGCTGATGGCTATTTACCCGAGAGGAGCGTGGATTCTGCACTCAGACAGCGCTGGTGGCACCTTGAGGTACCACCAAGCTTTGGATGTGCAGGACCAGCGAGCAAACTGTATGCAGGACTGCATCCTGATACAGGATGGACCTGTAGGGACTCATCCCAATATACCTGCTCGGCTCTTTGGCTCAAGGCAAAACCTCTAGCACTACAGCTTCACTGCCGGGAGCTCGCTTAAAGCCCGCTCAGGCACACGTCGAGAGCGGTAACACATCGCACCGCAGGAGAGAGCATTGCCCAGGGCTCCTGGTAGCCTAAAGGGCCATTGAATTCTCTTCCCTTTGGATTCAACTGCTTCTTCAGGAATTAATTTTCCAGTCCTCTCTCATACAGAGTTGTGCTTTCCGTTGTAATTCCTAAATGTGTTCTATGCCAAATAGCTTTTCCGCAAAGAACTCCACCTTTTCCATAGGAGCTACATTTAGTGCTGCACTTTGATATGCCCTGGCGTGCCTCCTGCCTGACAACTGCACTTTGGTGGGTCATGAAATTCAAGCAGGAGCTTATTTACCTCCCCGGGATTTTGCAGACTGCCTGCTGCAGTGAGCTACAGCTCTGCATCGGTGCAACTAAACCCTGCAAATCGGGCTGCTCAGAGCCGCTGGCTTCGCTGGGTTTGTTTTTGCTGATGTGCCTGGGTTGGAAATCACACATCAGTAGAGACTGGGGGTAACTGGTGCTCCCAGCTCACAGCAGTGCAATCCCATTAGTACAGCTCAGAGGCAAATTGATCCCTGAGAGTTTTGAGGCTCTGAAATAAACAAAATACACTCAGGTATCATGCAATGCCTAATTTCAATTTCTAATTCATCAATTTGTACAGGAGAAATCTTCCTCTGGGTAAACTTGGCCAGTACGAAGACTTTACAGAAACAAATGGAGATCAAAGAAAGCCTTGCTGAAAATTACCGAGCTATCCACTTGGGGGTCTTGCCAGTCTGCAATAGAACCATTATTACCTTAATTAAGCCTGATCCAGTGGAAAGCATAAAGCTTTTAGTGACAGGAAAGTGGCTCCTGAAGGATGATGGCTTTTAAAAATTCTGATTATGCCAGTTTATTTCAACTCCTTGTACATCAGGTTGTTAAAAAAAAAAAAAGCATACAAAACAGCACAGGTGATTACTTGCAGATCCCCAAATTCCTTTAATGATTAAAAGAATATTTAATAGCTAGTGCTTACTTTATTCCTTCTTTCTGACTAAACATCTCTAAACAAAAACTCTTTGCAAATGATTTTTTTTTTTTTGAAATACCCTTGATCAGTGAAGGGGAAAATGGAGCAGTAACTCTGCTGCCTTTTGTTTGCCCAATACGATGTCCAAGTTGAATTCATGCATTCTTAAATGAACACAGAGCAGTTGCTCTTCTAAAGAATTAAGTGGGGAATGAGAGCAAGTAAATTACTGAGCCTGTCATTTGGATCACTGACTCGCATCGCTGTTTTGCAGGACTCCACGCAGTCCGGAATATTAATGCGGACTGCAATTGATTTGTATGAGGAGCTGCTTGTGCAAAGCTGACGGTGAGGAAGGGGGAGGAAAAACCTGCAAGGGGTACCCCAGGAGTGACAGCTGAGCCGAGGAGCTCTGCCTCACCCGATCTTCCCCTCCCCTTGATAACTCACACCTTCCTGTGATACAGCCCCATTTCATGTCATCTAGACAAATATTGGAAGGTGGGATAAAAAAAAAGATGAAAAATATGTGCTCGCAAAGCTGAAGCGACAAAATGTTGGGTGTGACTAGGGCGTATTCAGACGAGGAAGCAGATTTCTAACCACGAAACCCGTTAGTAGGTGACATTAATTGCTGGTTTTACCTGATATTGTCAGATATCACCATCATTTCAAAGAACCATGGTATGATTATAACAAATAATGTTATGCTGATGTAACAGTTAATACAATGATTACCCACATTGTTATAAAATAGCTGGAGGCAGCACTAATTAAAAGCATCAGGATAACCTGATTCACAGCACATGCAAAGCACATGAGATGCGGGACTTCAGTTCCCATGCGGCTGTAATCTTAAACAATCCAGAAGCCCTTTGCATTTAAAATAGAATAAGTCCACAACAATAACTTACAAGAAAAAGACAATGTTACTTCTCTTTTACTTCTCTGAAAAGTATTTTTTTTTTTCAGAAGACACACATAAAATTTCTGGCTTAGTTGGGATCATTTATTCCCCCTATAACCTTGGGACCAAGTTCTGTTCTCCCTTACACGGATGCCAGGGCTGTCAGAGCCAGCTACGCAGCTGAGGACAAAATTTGGTGCCTTATTTTAACAGGGTGGCTGATATAACCACATGCTCACAGCCATGGGGTTCAGCTGCTCTTTGTTCTGATGGCCAGGCCCACACAATTCATCATCTGAATCCTGTACAAGTCCTAGCCCACATGTTAATGTGAGATTCAGTGATGAAGGTGGCCTTGGACCAAGGAAACTCTCAAGTTTACATGTATTCTGACAGACTCCGCAGCCAGTATTTCCTCCCATGATTGGCAACTTCCAGCACCTTTAGTTAATTCTGGAAATGACATAAGGACTAATAATCCTTCTGAAACAAGAGGCACAGAAACCACAGCGTCTTCTTCAGGGCTAAGGCACAGATCATCACTAAAAAGGCCCTCTAATACTATACCAACCTGAAAACCTTAAGTGCAAATACGCTGGCATCTTATGTGCCTTTGGTAAATGTATCTCCAGTGTAAATAAATGTCTGCTTTTATTTGTGTATATTCATGCATAAAAGTGCCCGTTTGACCTTCACATCCAGTATCTTGTAATGTTACAAGAAGAAAAAAAACAGAAATCCAGACTCTCTCTGTTTCTTGGTGCTTTAAATATTCAGATTTTCTGGATCATATTGCATGGCATTTCACAGACAGATTCAGCACTGGAAACTCTGGACAAAATTCTGGTCTCAGTCACGCTGGCACATGTCCAAAATAATTTCCATGGCATCACTTGAGTCATTCTCATACTGAGCTATGAGAGCTGAGACCACAATGAAGTACCTGGAGTTCATATATCTACACATCTAGGGGTATACATTTCCCAGCACCAATAATACACTTGGCATTTACAACTGTTTCGTTTCTCAGCAGAATAAAATACACTGTAAACGAAAAACTGCCAGGTACTCTTGTCTACTAAGAAAGAATCACTGCCCTAAAAATGGTAGTCGTTCAGAAAGACATTTCTAACAGCTCTCCAGGGAGAGCCAGTCCTTTGTCAGCCTCCTCTCCCTTCCCAAGCCTCTTTGTTTTTACCTTATTTAAGCTGCGTGCAGCGCTGTCCTTCCCACCTGGAGTCAGGTTTCGGAGCTGTACGTCCAGCAGGTTCACCAGCTGGACCATGGCGGACACGGAGTACGTGATGTCTCCAGCGTACAAGTGGTTTTTCGTGTGCTCCGCGAGCTCCCGGGCGATGTTGGCAGCCATCTCCCCTGACTTCATCTGCAATGAGAAAGCAGGTTGTCCCTGGATGATGGTGTGACGTTACGCCAGTCCCTTCCATCCCCACAGTGTCAACGAGTCAACTCCGTACAAGAAGAAGAAAAGATAAGAAGAAAAGCTCCGAAGAAGGAAATGACAGCAAGGGCTTTCATGATTTGATCATGTACAGTGCTTGAGTATGGTTTAAACTCTAGTGGTCTTGCCACCTAGGGTCACCACGTTGGCTTCAACACAACCACTTCTGCTCCTCCTCTCACGGGACACAGCTGGAATTCAGCAGCAGCTGCTTCTTCGCTCTGCAGCAGATGCGACCAACGATGGCATTGCTTTCCACGGGACACCCATGCTAGGGAGGGCTTCAGCTAGCTTCTCCCATTGCCATATCTACACACACTGAACAAACCAAACCATGTAAATAGTCTCTTCTGTCAAGAAAGAACAGTTTCTCATTCCAGAAGACTATTTCATAGTGAAAAGATTATTTTTGTTACCATTGCTGTGCAAAAAAAAAGTTCCTTTTAAAAGGAACAAATAGATGTCATAATGCAGATGAACAAGAGAAAAAAGTTCACAATCTCCATCGTGTGGATGTAATAATCAGATGCTAATTTGAACACTTAGCTTTTGCATGCAGGAGATATGCTCCTTACCACCCTAGCCACCGCTCTGTAATGAGGCTAGTGATTCTCAGCACATCAAATCATATTAACTCAGGAGCGAAAGGCTTGAGGCTTGAAGCAGAGGTCCGCGGGAAGGGAAAACCAAGTGGGCTGTTTGGCTGAATCTCCTGTTAAAAGACTTTTATTGTCTAGTTGAGTCATAAAACTCAATTGTAAAAAATTGTAAAAATCAATTGTAGCGAAATCCACTGATTAATTATTTGGGAAGCTCTTTCTTCCTTCCTGTGGCTTTTTTCTCTTTCTTGCCCTGTTTTGCTCTCCCCACCTGGTGCCCCTTTCCTCTCCTATGCCATAGAGACTGGGGACAGGGTAGCTGGTCCCATCTCCTTTCTATGGGCAGCCCACTACGAAAATACTATTACAAGTTTCTGGTCTTGTTCCATTTTTTTTTTTTCTTTTGTTATATACCGCTCTGTGATCTGGAATGCATATCTATGGGGAATATGCCAGGCAGAAGGAGAAATTACACAGGACAACATTTAACAAAGCTCCCACTTCTCTGGCAGGCTCAACGACCAACTCTGCTGGGTTCTTCACATGACATTTCCAATTGTTTTATCTCTCGACAGTTAAAAATCAGATATTTCTCTTGTTCCCTCAATTTCTGGTGCTTATTAAAAAAGTGAGATTTCAGGGAAAGATTGCAGGCTGAGCTTCTACCTCTCTGTAAATCAATTAGCTGAGTTATAAATGAATAACTTACTTCCATCAATTTGACAGCAACAGCCCATCTGATTTAATGAAATCTAACTGAAGATGTTCATATGCTCATCCTCAGAGAATTAAAGCACATGATGATATAGATAAGATAAATAAAGGAGATAATGTGCTGTTCTTCCTATTAGAGCAATGATAACACATATTCAAAAATTGAATTATTTCTTCCTTGTTACACACGAGGCTAATGTCATAGAAACCAGATCCCATTCTTCCAGCTGCCTGCTCTCCTAAGCAGCTGAAGAAAGCCACGTGTCAGCTGAATTTTGACCTCTTCCATTGGCACCTGGAACTTTAAAGAATGACTGCATCAAATCCCTTTACATAAAGAAATCAATTTCAACATTTTCCTACATGTCATCACTAGAGCTTAACATATATCACGACACACGGTGTTTCTGTAAGCCTTG